TGTGATTTATTTTTTGAAGACTTATTTTTTTTATATGAATTGAGCTCTAACCTTTGATAGCTTTAAGTTTCTTAATTTAGACTTGGATTCTTTTTTTGGAATGCCTTTTTGTACACATTTTCAAATCAACCCAAATTGCTCAAATGTTGATAGAAGTACAACTCTCTACATAGCTTCTGGTCTATGCTTATTATCTTTTTAATAATACACAAAGAAATCAGTTTTATTTTATGTAGTTTCCAATAGATAAAAAACCATAATATATAAAAGATTTTAATCATTTGTTTTAATGGTAATTAATTTGTGATATTTAACCAATAACATTTTCGTAAATATATAACAAAAAATATATTGATTGTACAATTTTAATATTCAATTTTTTTTATGTACTGTAAATAAATATTTAATTATTCATTTTAGTAAATTCAATCAATATTTAATTTTACTAATCTTTTTATTTTTTAAGATAATCTTTTGATTTCTCTTTTTCTTTATTCAGGCAAGTAACTTTTGATAAATATAAATTTATTTTTTAAATAAATAAAAAATTTTACTTAAAACTATCTTATTTTAAACAATAAAAAGTAATTACTTTAAACATAGTTTCAATAATTTTATATTTTTACAGTTGATAATTTCTCTTGATTTTAGAAACTTCTCATTATTACTTATAAAATAAAGATATTTTAAATAACATCTTAAAAGCTTTAACATCATTTTTTTCAAAAGAAATAAATCAAATTTACTCTGAGCTAAAAATTAAATTTGTTAGTTGAGTGCAATTACTCAAACCTAATCCAATATTTTATGCTCCTTTATCACCGATTTCATTGCCCCTTTTCAAATAAAATAAATAAATTTATTTACTATTTAAATTTGTTTTTAAATTTAAATCAAAATATATAAAATAATTCAAGCTTTTTTTAGTTAGCAATAAATAAATAAAATATAATTTTACGAAATGTTAAATTTGAGATTAGTTAGGAACTTGAAGTTACCAAGTGCTGCACCAATAGTAGAAGCTCCATCATGCCCAATTTAATTTCCTCTTTTATATTTGCAAATCATGTTTAATTAAAATTTAAGACATTTTATAAATTCAAATTTTTTTTAAATTTAGTTTAATAAAATGGTTTGACATAATTTTTTAAAAGTTATAAATTAAATAAATAACCTTATGTCAAATTCTAAATTTGTAAGTTGAGTGCAGTTACTCAAACCTAATCCAATATTTTATGCTCCTTTATCACCGATTTCATTGAACCTTTTCAAATAAAATAAATAATTTATTTACTATTTAAATTTGTTTTGAAATTTAAATCAAAATATATAAAATAATTGAAGCTTTTTTTAGTTTTCAATAAATAAATAAATAAATAAATAAATAAATAAAATATAATTTTACGAAATGTTAAATTTGAGATTAGTTAGGAACTTGAAGTTACCAAGTGTTTTACCAATAGTAGAAGCTCCATCATGCCCAATTTAATTTCCGCTTTTATATTTGCAATTCATGTTTAATTAAAATTTAAAAGATTTTATTAAAATTTAATATATATACAGTGACAGCAGCCAATTTTTACAAAATTATATTCAAAAAATCATTATGATTCCAAATTATTTTATCGTTTTTGGAGAATTCGGGGGGTTTGCTTAAGAGGATTTAATTTATTTAAGTAAATTTAATTTTTAAATTTTTTTATTTTTAATAAATAATTTATTTACTTACAAAAATATGAATGATATTTATAAATTTAAAATCAATAATAACAACTATAAATCTATTTATATTTTAGGTTAAAAACACTTTTTAAAAATATTAAATAAAAAAATATATAATATTATTCAAACATTTTATATTGATTCATCCTTTTTTCACCAGCTGTTTATCATTAGAAATTTAAATTAAAGACAACTAATCTTTATGATTTAAGACACTTGCCTTTTACTTTGAATTTTTATGAAATTTTCATTGAGCTAAAAATTTTAAAATAAATCTGTGTAAATTTTAAATAAATATAAAAATAGAATAAACTTTTAAATTAAAAATTATTCTTTAAATTCTTAAATAAAATAATATTAGTGCAATAAAAAAGATAAAAAAATAAATCAAATTAAAGCTATCAAATAAATTCAAAGAAATTTTTTTTATATTCATTTTTATAGTTTAAAATATCACAATTCAAAATAAATAAACTGTTTTTACTCAAGGTTAAGTGTCAAATTTGAGAGATTAATGCATTTTGCTAAAGCTGAACCTAAGCCTGATGCACCTTCATCACCAATTTAATTTTCACTTTTTAAATATTGAAGAAAAAATATATCATTAAATAGTTAATTAGAAGGAAAAAATGAAGAAAAAATATGAAATAATAAAATTAATTAATAATAAAAGCAAATGAATAAAATAAATGATGAGCTTAATTAACAAAGAAAAAACAAAACAGCAAGCACGATAAAAAGAAAAAGAAAAAAGAGCTTTATTGTTTTTAATTAGTTTTTATAATTAAAAATATCACAATCCAAAACAAATAAACTGTTTTTACCCAAGGTCAAGTGTCAAATTTGAGAGATTAATGCATTTTGCTAAAGCTGAACCTAAGCCTGATGCACCTTCATCACCAATTTAATTTTTACTTTTTAAATATTGAAGAAAAAATATATCATTAAATAGTTAATTAGAAGGAAAAAATGAAGAAAAAATATGAAATAATAAAATTAATTAATAATAAAAGCAAATGAATAAAATAAATGATGAGCTTAATTAACAAAGAAAAAACAAAACAGCAAGCACGATAAAAAGAAAAAGAAAAAAGAGCTTTATTGTTTTTAATTAGTTTTTATAATTAAAAATATCACAATCCAAAACAAATAAACTGTTTTTACCCAAGGTCAAGTGTCAAATTTGAGAGATTAATGCATTTTGCTAAAGCTGAACCTAAGCCTGATGCACCTTCATCACCAATTTTATTTCTACTTTTTAAATATTTAAGAAAAAATATATCATTAAACAGTTAATTAGAAGGAAAAAATGAAGAAAAAATATGAAATAATAAAATTAATTAATAATAAAAGCAAATGAATAAAATAAATGATGAGCTTAATAAAAAAGAAAAAACAA